TAATATTCTGTACTGTGACTTGGTCTAACATGGGAATCTACAGGTAGAAGCCTGCATTTGAGCATGGATCTCCCTTCTGGATGGTTACAGCGTTCATGAAATCCGGAGAACCACTAATTCCATTGGGGGGGGGGACTTTTAAATCATGCCCATCACTGTAAACAAAACCTATGCCCTTATGACGATGACAAAAATCAAATTTTGTCAGCATTTTCTGATGGCTAGGTAGGTAAGTATGTCTTTCTAGACACCTTTATCCCACTTGTATATTTCAACAATATAATTTATTTAGTCATGTTTAAAGCATTTCCGTATGTTATGTATGGATAACATTCAGTGCAGGTTGAGGCCTGGAGCTCAGGAGCTTCATATGCATAACAAAAGACAGAGCGGATTCTAAAACCCTCCAATGACACTGTTAGTAGCTGGCAGGCAACCAATCCCTGCTGAGATTGGGCCAGTGCTGTGATTCACTAATTGCAGCATTAAGGCGACCTTTCACAGGCGGGGTGTGTGTTTTGCCTAGGCTGGCTTAAGGTCTATATACTGGGCCAAGTGCCCCTGTCTGCCAGTTTTGTTCCTGTTGCTGCAATGTCATTTTGAGCTGAATCTAGGCCTCGGGTCCATAGCTGTCAACTTTTCCCTTTTCTTGCGAGGAATCCTATTCGGAATGAGGGAATTTCCCTTAAAAAAAGAGAAACGTTAACAGCTATGCTCAGGTCATCCTTGAACCCTCCCACACTTCACTATACCCAATCCTTCTCCTAAAATGATGCCTGGTCAGTTTATTTATTAATATTTATATACTTAAGAATTATAAGACACAGCTTCATTAAAACATATAACAAAATGGAAGGTGATTTTTTTAATAAAAAAAAAATCTGCAAAATGAATAAATAAGAAAGATACTAAAAGCAGGTAGCACTTTAACAGCACTTTGAATTTATTTGACAGGATTTGTTTACCGCTCAGTTGTAAATAAAACCTCTAAGTGGTGTACAAAGAACATAAAATATACATTTAAAGTGTCAATAAAATTCAAAGTTAAAAAGTTTTTTTAAAAAACATACTTTAAAAAAGATACTCAGAAGTAGGCAAGCTACATATCAAAGTATTAAGTGGCTTACGAAAATCGCACAATATAACTCATTAAAAAGCAAAAGCTAGACGTCTTGAAAATGCAGAACCATCTAAAACATCACAAGTCACAAAAGTTGAAAGTCGTCTTCATATGCCCTTATATAAAGTTATCCAAGCATTGCAAACCCTGACTATAATAAATGTTTTTACCGCCTGCTAAAAAGCAGGCCAAGAGAGATAAGGTAGATGGTACTGCCCTTTCATGACACTCGGATTCAGCTGCCTGAGATGGCAACCTCTCTCCCCAATGGCTGGACCGGCCCTGAAAATGTACCACAGTATTGAGGGTTCTTCTTTGTTAAACCTGTTACACCAGGCAGCTACAAAACAGTGCACTGTTCCATTACTGAAAGCAACATTTAATCCCTTCGCTAAAATTGTTATTGGAATTGTTCAGTTAATTTGCATGAAATGTCTGCACTAACGTGCTTAGAAGTATGGCTAGACATGTTGCTGAAGTTTAATAACCATCTTTAAAAATTAGCTGTAAATTAGAAACTAGTCCGGGAGCTACAAAAATAAGAGCCCTGTCATTCATTCATTTCATAAACTGGCATGGTTTGGTTTATGTTGCTGTTAATTTATTATAATGATGTCATGTACACTGTTGCCTTTCAGTCTGTGCACACTTCATTGCTGACAATTCTGCGGCTTGCATTACATCATCATGGCTGGAGGAAATCTAATTAAAGACCCACATACCCAAATACTCTACCCTGGAGGTGAGGGTAACTGGGGCTGTCTCAGGGATTTTCGGCTCCAAAGCAGAATCCTTCGACATCTTTTTTAGTAGGCATGAAGGGTAAGGCTATGAGCAGCTACTAGTAGCCATGATAACAACCAGGGTTGGCTTTGGGGGGTCCTTGGACACTGGATATCAGGAAAGCCCTTGTCCTTTTCCTTCTCAAACTACACCCTTTTAAACTAGAACTAACACTGGCTAAGGTGGTAGTCCCCTATTGCCGAAGAACCACAACACAAACTTCCGTATTTCATTAGTTGCCTTGACAGTATACCTTAATCTGCAATCCTATACAGTGGCACCTCTGGATACGTACTTAATTCGTTCCGGAGGTCCGTTCTTAACCTGAAACTGTTCTTAACCTGAAGCACCACTTTAGCTAATGGGGCCTCCTGCTGCCGCTGCACCACCAGAGTACAATTTCTGTTCTCATCCTGAAGCAAAGTTCTTAACCCGAGGTACTATTTCTGGGTTAGCGGAGTCTGTAACCTGAAGCGTATGTAACCTGAAGCATATGTAACCTGAGGTACCACTGTACATACGTTCATGTAGGCCCCACTGAACTCAAAGGGGCTTGCTTCTGCATAGAAATGTACACAGGATTGCACTGTTGGAACTTAAGAGACAGCTGTCTCAGGGAAACAGAAAATATAGTGGTACCTCGGGTTACATATGCTTCAGGTTACATATGCTTCAGGTTACAGACACTGCTAACCCAGAAATAGCGCTTCAGGTTAAGAACTTTGCTTCAGGATAAGAACAGAAATCGTGCTCTGGTGGCGTGGCGGCAGCAGGAGGCCCCACTAGCTAAAGTGGTGCTTCAGGTTAAGAACAGTTTCAGGTTAAGAACTGACCTCCAGAACTAATTAGGCACTTAACCTGAGGTACCACTGTATTTGCTTTGGATGAAGAGGATCCCAGTTTCCCTAGCATCTCCAAGCAGGGCTGGGAGAAACGGTTGCCGTAAACGCGGGAGAGCAACTGCAAGGAACTTTGTATAGACAATGCCAAGCTATATGGACCAATGGTCTCATGCTCTATAATGTTACATGCCTCCCCAATCTCCACAGCAATTCGAAATTCCATGGGTCCCACACGTTCTAAACCCTGGGTCAGTTTCCATTTGGAAAAACAAGCCACAGAAGAGCCTGTAGTGTTCTTATGATATATGGTTTATTTACATATATGTACAACCCGAGTCCAGATGGGGAAGAATCCCAGCATTACATCCTGTACAGAGGGTCACTTGCTCTTCCCATAGGTGCAGCAGGCTTGAGTCTAAAAGCAGAGAAGTCACCCATGCTCTGTGTCTCTTTGTTATAGCCTGTCACAGTCAGCTCACATGGTGTTCTGCTTCCCTTCCTCTCCCTCTTGCTGCTAACCTAGTGAAACTGATGCACATAGAGACCTATAAGCTCAGCTAACTAGCCAGGCTAGAGGCCTTGTGCCTTATCTTTGTCTTACCTTATGCTAGGAGCAGCTTTACTCCCAAGGTTGTAAACAACATTCTTAAGTGTCTACATTAGACAAGAGAGAGTCCTTTGTTTCCTTGCCTAATGAATAGGTAATGAAGGAAAGACCATACATGGTATAATTAGTATTGTGTTGTAACTTTAGATGGGAGGAAGTTTATGCATATGTATTTAACAGGTAGCAGCTATGTATATTATCAGGCCCCACCCTTTCGGGCTTGCTCAGCTTTGGGATAGTGATCCCACTGAGCCATTATTGCTAGCAATAAACACCCTTTGTTTTCTCACCGCTGCTGGAGTTTTTCCTTTCAGCCCAGACATTTATTTTGCTAGAAAACTGTTTCCTCCAGCCTACATCATCCAGACTGAAATCCTAAACCTTTGTGTTCTCTGCCCTGTTAATGGGTTCCTTGATGGGCTAATGCCTGGCCATCATCAGCCACGCTCAGCTAGTTCTGCCAAACTGGCCTGGCTCATTTGCCTAAACTGCATCCAGAGGTTACCATGTTTGGCACAGTTTAGTCAAACCCTCATTATTTCTAACTTTTGACAAACCCAAGAATTATGGGTGTCTTGCACCCAAAACACATTCCTATGTGCTTAATTACCACCAACCTATTACTGTGTAAAATGCTTGCTGAGCATACATTTAAGCTGAAATTATCACTGACTGTATTTTGCTATCTCATTGCCATTCAACACCCACCTTATCATTTTCTCCTTTATACGCCTGTGGAAAGAGGCATATCTTTAGGTGCCAACATTCCTCTTCTCCCAGATATTTGGATAATTAAGCCACCTATGGCCTTTTAAATTGTGTGTGGCAGGGTTATTGTTTTTGTTTGTTATTATGGTGTGTATTTTTGTGTTTTTATTACTGTAAACCACCCTGTGATCCTTGAATGAAGGGAGGTATAGGAATTTAATGAATAATGGCAGGGGGTTGGACTCGATGGCCCTTGTGGTCTCTTCCAGCTCTATGATTCTATGATTCTATGAATAAATATAACAATGCTGCAATGAGCTGTCTCATTACTCTCTTTTGGTGCTTCCTAGCAATATATCAAACTTTCCCATGTGTTCTGTCAGATTAGCCATTCCCTGCTTGCCAATACAACCTGTATGTTGTCCTCCATGTTCGTGTGTGTGTTACATAATACAATAATGCAGCTTAATTAATTATTTGCAGGGATGGGAGGAACCATTATCTCCAGTCTGATTTCAACTAACTTGGATTATGAGAATTTGGGAAAGCCTATGGCTCCAAAAGAACCCAGTAGATGGGTATTACACGGACTCTAACTTGCAGCTTGCAACAGCTTCAGATGAAGAAGAGCTTTGATTACTGTCTTCCAGATCATGCTGTCCGATGATCTGGCATCTTGAGCATCTATCTTCCCCTTGTGAAGATTGGATGGAAACAAGAACTTCTCCCTGGAACACTAATGGAGGCAGGAGGTAAGAGAATTCTTGTGTTGATATTCTAACATCAGGATAGCTGTCTGCTGGTTATATGTGTATAATACAGAAATCACTGAAGGATAAATTTATTTCTGCAGGAGCTAAACTCTGGATAAAATTTCACTTCCCACCTTTTTCACTACTCCTTTCGTAATTGCCCATGGAGGGTTTAGGAAGGTTTTTAACACCTTATCTTTCCTCCAGCATAGCTAAGTAGCAGGCATGCTCAAATCCTTAGTTGTCACCATGTGACATTCATAAGAAAGAAATTAAATAGTTTGGCAGATCTTACAAACCCTTGCAAAACTTATCGCACAAAAGTATATTTGTTCAACATAAATGTGACACATCTGAATGTGACTCTGTCACAGGCAAAAAACTGACACTCCCTTCACTGCTCTTATGAGACAGGCAAGGCAGTTTTGATCAACTTTGACTTGACACTTACCAGTTTCACAAACTCTGCCATTCGTGATATAAGTCCCTTGCATCACTTGAGCATGTAGAAATGCAATATATGCACCACCTTCCTCAATATGATGTGAAACAGAAATGCTGACCTTGGCAATAAACTTAAATGTCTGTGAAACATCTGTGAACTCTCTGATGGTTCGTTTTCGGTGCAGAAAACTGTGGGAAAGTCTTTGAATGATAGTTGAGATAAAGAAGTTTGCTCTCAAAGTTTTGCTGTGCTTTAAGAGTAATTGAGTTGCATGTCATCACAGCCCAACATTATCTGATGACCTTCAGTTCTTAGTGGTTATATATGTACAGAAGTGTATGGAATTGTTCATCTTGCTGGGAATTCCCTTTAGGGTTTTGAGAATTTTATTTTCTTTTATTTAGGTTGGCTATAATATTGAGGGCAGGCAAGGAGGAGAAATTTAATATATGCACTGGAAATTCTGTGAATATCAGCAAACTTACAAGCTCCCTGGGGCCTATAATGGTCATTTTCATGCCACTTAGTACATGTTTGCAGCAGGTTATTATAACTGGGCCAGACTTACTAGACAGCTGCCAAGACACTTAACTTCTTGAAGCTGCAGATGGGAGAGGTGTTTTCTCTTTTCAGCACTTAGTATACAAATGTGTCTACTGCTCTTGAACAGCAGTAGGGTCGTGACTGTTTTCATTGTACAATGCATGAAAGAAGGGTCTCAAACAGTGACTCCTGAAAGAATGGGTGGCACTGGCAGAGCACTGAAATAGATGTGGTGGACTATTCATAAATGATAACTTTTCAAAGCAAACATTTGGTTGGAGTAGATTAGATTAACTCAAGGTTGAAGGCAAAGGGGTTAGCACTGCACTGACCTGCTAACTGTCTCAGTGGTGCCCCTCTTCCTCCTGGGAAGCAGCAGTGACTCACTTGACAGGAGGTCAGGTAAGGGGACAGGGTGCCAGGCAGGAAGGAGAAGTGGGTCTTGTGTGGAAAGAAGGAGAAACTGTGAAAGGGAGACCTACTTGACTAGCTGTGCCTTCCAAGGAGAAGGCATGGATGAATGCCTTTGGATGCAGGGATGAGAGCCTGGATGAGAGCTTGGGTATGGGGTGTACACTGGCTTTCCTGCCCATCCACCCGATGCTCTGCCCCCTGGAGCAGAACCATAGATGGTGGTGGTCTTTCACAAGGGCCTTCCCTGCAAGGAAGGTGCTTACCAAAATCAGCACCACACAGGATGGAACCCTCTGCTTACCAGCTGGTAAGCAGGCAGTTCCACCCTACGGGGTGCAGGTTGCTGCTTCTTTGTGAGGGTTCTTCTCTGTAGGGAAGGTGGCACGCGGTTCACTGATAAGCGGAGCATTTGGTCCTGCAGGTGCAGGCTCCTGCTCTTTCACCAGGTACTTCCCTGTAGGGGAGGTGGTCATGAAGGAGCAGCACCAATTTCTGCATGCTCTTCTCCATCAGTTTGATATAGATATTTGAAGGGCATGACAGACAAGATGGAACTTTGCAGCACCCCATATGTCAAAGACACTTGTCCTTGTTGTTGTTGTTTAGTCGTGTCCAACTCTTCATGACCCCATGGATCAGAGCACGCCAGGCACTCCTGTCTTCCAATGCCTCCCGCAGTTTGATCAAACCCATGCTGGTAGCTTCGAGAACACTGCCCAACCATCTCGTCCTCTGTCGTCCCCTTCTCCTTGTGCCTTCAATCTTTCCCAACATCAGGGTCTTTTCCAGGGAGTTTTCTCTTCTCATGAGGTGGCCAGAGTATTGGAGCCTCAGCTTCACGATCTGTCCTTCCAGTGAGCACTCAGGGCTGATTTCTTTAAGAATGGGAAGGTTTGATCTTCTTGCAGTCCATGGGGCTCTCAAGAGTCTCCTCCAGACCATAATTCAAAAGCATCTATTCTTCGGCGATCAGCCTTCTTTATGGTCCAGTTCTCACTTCCATACATCACTATGGAAAAACCATAGCTTTAACTATACAGACCTTTGTTGGCAAGGTGATGTCTCTGCTTTTTAAGATGCTGTCTATTTTAAGATGCTGTCTTAAGATGCTTGTCCTTAACAGGGGATTAAGTTTTATAACCTGTGTGATCCTTCCACTGCTCTGCTTACAGATTCTGTAGTAATGGCCTGCAAGAAATATGTAATTCAGTCCTAAGATTTACTGGATTGGCAAATAATTTGCAGGGATGGAACATCTCAAATACAGCAGTTGTTGAACCACACTAGCATTGTAGGGATGTTACACTGATGTTGCCAGAAAGCTTATATAAACTTCGTGGTCAGGATGCCAGACGTGGATTTTCCAATATAGGACCACACAGTTTTATTGAAATTCAGGACTCATTAGCTTTAAACTCTAGAATTTATTTATTAATAGACTGTAAGAAAAAGATTCTGAAATGTTGCCAGCATTACTTATCATGATTATTTTCTGTCTCACATGTGTTTTATTGGATTTTAATGATTAACTTTAAACCATCTAGAATGCTGAAATAGGATTGCTGCAGGATTTTGAACTCTTCTTAACTCATCTTTGTATCTTAGATAGTATTAAATTAATAGAAAATGCAATACCAGCATAAAATTACTAATCTTGGGTGGCCTTAATGCTGTGGACTTACGTGTCAGTATTTTATTTTCCTTTGTCTGCCAAAATAAACCATTTTCTCTTAAATGCGTGGAAGATTAAACAGATAACTAGTTAATTCCTTATTCCAGAGTCCCACCTGTTATTTGCTGTAACCAAGTTACGGTAGATGTTATCCAAAGAAAAAATCTCCTGTAAATTTGGGGAAGAGCTCAAATGTTCTTCTGTACCTAAGAAAGGTGTTTATGGCCATCCATAGTGGCTTTGGGGCATTTCTGAAGCAAGCTCCCCAAATTTACCATGGCCTGCAGATAGAGGAAAGGTTTGCATAGATAACAGACCTATGATCTAATGGAGAGGCTGGTTTCTGGATGGCTTGTTTTGAATAGCTTACTCCACTCTTTTGTTGTTGCTGTTGTTTTGCTCAGTGCTTTTATCATATTTTATGTGATACAATGATGCTGTAAACTGCTTTTCCATGGGCAGTCTTAATAGCCCTTTCCCTGAATGTGTGGAAAGAGAAGCAGAATCATTTGCTATCCTCAATACCTCTCTGCATGTTGAGCTGAAGGTCTGAAAAGAGCCTATGAAAATTTGTGCAGGTTTCCTGATTACACAGAGCTAATCTGCATTCACAGGCTCTATTAAACTTTTGATGGGGTAGGGACAGTGGATGAGATCACAGTTTAAGCCTGAAGATGTTCATTGTCATTGTCATGTGAAACGGACAATGAAGGCCACCCAAAGTAAGGTGATTCATGTAGTGAATCCATAGGTTAGCCCAATGTATTCGTTTCCCACATCCAGTCTCATTTGAATACTTACTCCAGTGAAGTCTCATTTACTCCTATGGGATCGTAAGATTTGCCATATATTTAGGATTGTGGTCTTGGAGCTTAACAGAGTCTTTCTTCTGCAGTTGGGAGATCTGGTTACAATAAAATCGCTGACTTTCATAACGTTATTATCTGTCTTAGCCAAATGTTTTGTTAGGACAAAAGCCAAATGCTATTAATTTATATTTCCTGTGTCTGTAATGACTGTAGAAACTACATTGTAGTTTTTCTTTCTGATTTGTTCTTCAATATCATATATCATGAACAGAAAACTGTAGCGTCAACTAAATAGATTTGTGCTGGGAATACCATGTGGGAACCAAAACTCTAATTGCAACTACAAGGGAAAAGAACACAAATAAACCAACACACTGCATATTTCTATACTATAAGCAACATTTTTGCTATACATCGCTCTGTTGCATTTAAAGAATTTGTATTTTTGGTAGCCTAGTACACCAATAAGGGGGGAACCTCTGACCCACAGGTTTGATTAGGCCTGCCAGACTTCACCATTTGTCCTGCTAGACCAGAGCTTTCCAAACTTTTCATGTTGGTGGCACACATTTTAGATGTGCATCATTTTGTGACATTCAGTTTTACTAGCAAACCAGAGGTTAAACTAACCCCTTTGCAGGAGCGCAGGGAGCGTTTGCGCGACACACCTACACACTGCAGCCGACACATTAACACGTCACAACAGTTTGGAAAGCTCTGTGCTAGACCATTTTATCCAAGCCACACGTATCCTACACCTGACATCATGTATGATCAGGTAAAGACGCAGCTGAGCCCAAAGGTTGCAGGCCAGCTGATCAGCAACACAAAGGAAAACACGTCACCAGATGCTATTCAGAGGAGAAAGCCATGGTGAGCAAGTCCTTGTGAAGCCTTAACAAGGCTCGTTAGGTAAATCCAGCCACTATGTTTGTACATAAGAATGTAGGGAGTAGATACCTTCTCTCAGACAGCCCATCTTCAAAGGCATTTGTGGGGAAAAGAAAGTGCCAATTCAAATGTCAAAATTATTTACACAAACTTCTTGAACATGGACAATTTATAAGGTACTTTAAAAAATCCTATCTCTACTGCTTGTGATTTTTTTAAAAAAATGTTATTTATGTACAGCTTTTGTAGGCTACGCTCTTACAAAATGTTCTGAGGTGGGTTAGTGTATATTTTGAAAATTCAGACACTAGAATGATACAGATATGATGCAGCATACAACTCAAAAGAAACAAAAAAGCAGACCAAAACAAATTTAGGAGAGAGTAAAACTGACGTAAAAGGCCTGAGAAAGCAAAAAAAAAGTTATTTGTTCAGTATCAAAATGATAACCAAGTAGACATCATTTGAGCCTCTCTGAAGGCCACCATGGAAAAGCTGTTCTACCAGCTACCGGCGTCACTTTACCTGCTGGGACACCCAGAGAAAGGCCTGATTCTGTTCCTGTAACACCAATTTTCATTTTTTTCATTTGAGCAGTTACATTATTGTCATGCAGCTGTAGCCTTCCAGCCCTCCCCATCATAAGCACTTACGGTTTGCTGCAGCAGGTCATTTAGGAATGACTGGGACAGTGTTAGCTTTTCAAAGGGGTTGCTGTATCTTGATACAGGGGAAGTATAAACCCATTATAATTTTGCTGTCTGAAATTTCAGGCCTTTCTCCCATAAACTGTGGAAAAATGACATCAGCTTTCTGGGTGAAACTCAGAAAGCTTGTGAATGACTAAAGTATACCGAATAGGCACACAGAGGTGATAAAAATCGGCGTGTGACATGATGTCTGCCTGCTGGTGTGTGGGGAAACCGAGTGCAGAGCAGTTGAAATATTCACTTCTACTATTGGACTCTAGACCTGCTGACCTTTTAAACAGAAACATCTGCTTCAGACGTCCATTGTGAGTGTACCACCTACTTGTTGCTTGCAAGCATCACTTTTCACAGCGTACATGTCTTTTAGGAAAGCATCTTGGGACTGATTACAACCGAGTTCTCTGCCTGAGGAAAGGACAGCTGATATGAAAACCTCTGTGGGTGGTGTTTTATGTGAGGTGACTGTTTCACATGTACAAGTCATCACTTCATGTAGCAGTTGTTGAGTGGCAGCAGTGCAGGTGTGAGCTCACGTTCTGTATCATAGTACATCACATGGCAGACACAGAGACAGATATCTAGTACAAAATGAAATGGGTCCTTTTAACTACAGGTTTTACAGTAAAGAAATAATGAAAGTGGGTAAATTATCTTCTTCAGCCACTATGCATCATCAAAATAACTTTCACAAACAAAACTTGAGGCAGAAAATTGTCATGGAGAACTCTACAGAACAATATAAGTCGTGCCTCGGGTCCCAAACGCCTTGGGCTCCCAAAAACCGGAAGTGAGTGTTTCAGTTTCCGAACATTCTTTTGGAAGCTGAATGTCTGCAGCCTATCAGAAGCTGCGCTTTGGAAGTCGAACGTTTCGGAAGTCGAACAGACTTCCGGAACGGGCTCCGTTCGACTTCCGAAGTACAACCGTATTTACTCAAATCAGTGGTGTCGACAGTACTGCTATATGCTCTCCACTTCCAAGGAGTGGGAAGTTTCAGGGCAAATGCTACAGAGTTTGTGCTCCAAAGGCCAACAGTATATTTGCTTTATTTGCCAATATAAAAGCAGATCATATTAGATACAAGTACTTTTGCAGGTGGCAGCATATCCCTTGAGAGTAACTGTCCTTCCCTTCCCTTGAAGAAACAGCAACTGATCATCCTGGGCTGGCAAGCAAGCAGCTTTGCAAAGAATGGATTAATACCTGCCATAACAATATGATAAAAATTAGATAACAGCCCAGATTATTATTTTTTTACTCATTTATGATTATAGGTAAAGGTAAAGGGACCCCTGACCATTAGGTGCAGTCGTGACAGACTCTGGGGTTGCGGCGCTCATCTCGCTTTACTGGCCGAGGGAGCCGGCGTTTGTCCGCAGACAGCTTCTGGGTCATGTGGCCAGCATGACTAAGCCGCTTCTGGCGAACCAGAGCAGCGCACGGAAACACCGTTTACCTTCCCGCCGGAGCGGTACCTATTTATCTACTTGCACTTTGACGTGCTTTTGAACTGCTAGGTTGGCAGGAGCAGGGACCAAGCAACGGGAGCTCACCCCGTCACAGGGATTCGAACCGCCGACATTCTGATCGGCAAGTCCTAGGCTCTGTGGTTTAACCCACAGCGCCACCTAAAAGGTAGAAATGCATGAAAATCGGGAGGGCTCAAATTGTGCATAATATTTATCATTTATTCAGCATTGTGGGCAACATCTTAGATAACATTGATTTGAAAATCAATGTCTTTCTTCCTTCTTGCATAAAGTTGTGTTAGTTTTTGGTGGTAAGAGATAACCCCAACTTTCATGCTCCATCACACAGGAACATAGTTTGATGTATGACGGAAATAATCAAGGTAGCATTCTGTCATTCTGTCTGAGCCTAACAGTTCCTTGTTCCCTGAGCATATGTTTTCTGCTCTGCTGCAAGCCTGTGAACATGATTTCTAGTTAGCTATGGTGCTAAATGTTTTGGACCAAAGATGTTGATAGCACAGCTCAGGGCCTCATTCTCTGCAACAACACTTCAACCTATAACCAAAGGACACTGCTGAGCTAATTTTTGCAGCTCTGTTGTACTACTACCGCAGATGGTCAGAGGATATATAGCAGCTGTTCAGTTCAGGTGAACTGGACACACACACACACACACACACACACACTGCAATCTCTTTCTACAGGCCCTGCAGCACTAGGTCCCAATGTGGCAGTTCTGCAGCAAGACAAGGCGGGATGAGCCTCAGACAGGATGCAAAGAAGGTTCAGGCAGCGTTCACACAGGAGTTAAGACAAAGGCTCAAACTGCTCTCTGTGGAACACAGAGCTCTGAAGTTATAAGAATAAGAATAAGAATAAGAATTTATTATTTATACCCCGCCCATCTGGCTGGGTTTCCCCAGCCACTCTGGGCAGCTTCCAACTGAATATTAAAAACAGTACAGCATCAGACATTAAAAACTTCCCTAAAGAGGGCTGCCTTCAGTTGTCTTTTAAAAGTAAAATAGTTGTTTATTGCTTTGACATCTGCTGGGAGGGCGTTCCACAGGGCAGGCGCCACTACCGAGAAGGCCCTCTGCCTGGTTCCCTGTAACCCCACTTCTCGCAATGAGGGAACCGCCAGAAGGCCCTCGGCGCTGGATCTCAGGGGGGGTGAACGATGGGGGTGGAGACGCTCCTTCAGGTATACAGGACCGAGGCCGTTTAGGGCTTTAAAGGTCAGCACCAACACTTTGAATTGTGCTCGGAAACGTACTGGGAGCCAATGCAGATCTCTCAGAACCGGTGTTATGTGGTCCCGGCAGCCACTCCCAGTCACCAGTCTAGCTGCCGCATTCTGGATTAATTGCAGTTTCTGGGTCACCTTCAAAGGTAGCCCCACATAGAGCGCGTTGCAGTAGTCCAAGCGGGAGATAACTCGAGCATGCACCACTCTGGCAAGACAGTCCATGGGCAGGTAGGGTCTTAGCCTGCGTACCAGGTGGAGCTGGTAGACAGCTGCCCTGGACACAGAATTAACCTGTGCCTCCATGGACAGCTGTGAGTCCAAAATGACTCCCAGGCTGCGCACCTGGTCCTTCAGGGGCACAGTTACCCCATTCAGGACCAGGGAATCCCCCACACCCGCCCGCCCCCTGTCCCCCAAAAACACTACTTCTGTCTTGTCAGGATTCAACCTCAATCTGTTAGCCGCCATCCATCCTCCAACAGCCTCCAGGCACTCACACAGGACCTTCACCGCCTTCACTGGTTCTGATTTAAAGGAGAGGTAGAGCTGGGTGTCATCTGCATACTGATGAGCACCCAGCCCAAACCCCCTGATGATCTCTCCCAGTGGCTTCATATAGATATTAAAAAGCATGGGGGAGAGGACGGAACCCTGAGGCACCCCACAAGTGAGAGCCCATGGGTCTGAACACTCATCCCCCCCCCACCACTTTCTGGACACGGCCCAGGAGAAAGGAGCGGAACCACCGTATAACAGTGCCCCCAGCTCCCAGCCCCTCTAGACGGTCCAGAAGGATGTTATGGTCGATGGTGTCAAAGGCCGCTGAGAGATCCAGCAGAACTAGGAAACAGCTCTCACCTTTGTCCCTAGCCCGCCGGAGATCATCAACCAGCGCGACCAAGGCAGTTTCAGTCCCATGGTGAGGCCTGAATCCCGATTGGAAGGGATCCAAATGGTCCGCATCCTCCAGGCGTGGTTTGAGTTGTTTGGCAACCACATGCTCAATCACCTTGCCCAAGAATGGTAAATTTGAGACTGGGCGATAGTTGGCCAAATTGGCTGGGTCTATAGATTTTTTTTAAGAAGCGGTTTAATGACCGCCTCTTTCAGCAGGTCTGGGAAGGCTCCCTCACAGAGGGAAGCATTCACCACCCCGCAGAGCCCATCGCCCAGCCCTTCTCGGCTCGCTTTTATCAGCCAGGATGGGCAAGGATCCAGGAGACAGGTGGTCGATTTCACTTGTCCAAGCAGCCTGTCCACATCCTCGGAGGTAACAGATTGGAATTGATCCCATGTAACAGGACTAGACAGAACTCTAGCACTCTCCCACCCTGGCCCTGCTCCCACGGTGGAGTCTACCTCCTTCTGAATCTGAGTGACTTTATCTGCAAAAACTTTGCAAAAGCATTGCAGGAGATCTTGGGGTCCCTACCAGGCCCCGGTGGTGCAGGTGGTTCCGATAGATTGCGAACCACCTGAAAAAGTCTCCTGCTGCTGTTTTCTGCAGATGCAATGGAGGCGGTGAAGAAGGCCCTCTTCGCCGTCGCCATTGCCACTTGGTAGGCTCGACGTTGAGCTCTAGCCCATGTCCGGTCTGATTCAGAATGAGTTTTCTGCCACCGGCACTCTAGTTGTCTCAACGATTGTTTCATCACCCTCAGCTCTGGGGAAAACCACGGGGCTGTCCGGGCTCCATGCAATCGGAGAGGGCGCTTCGGAGCCAGACAGTCAATAGCCCTGGTTAACTCCGCATTCCAGCGGGCCACCAGGGAATCAGCTGAAAAGCCATCAACTTGGGATAAAACATCCCCTACCACTCTCTGGAAGCCAATTGGATCCATTAAGTGGCGGGGGCGGACCATCTGAATTGGTCCCACCTCCCTGCAGAGGGGAAGGGTCGTGGAGAAGTCC